TTTGTTCTCCGGAGCTCCATGTCTTTCTTTTTCTCCTTGCGTTTTATTTGTTGAAGAAACAGACTTGTGTGACAGTAGAGTTCCCCACTGTCTGGATTTTGGCAGACTACACCCTGGGAATGTCATTTGACATGCTCCTCAGTCTTCTGCTTTCCTGTGAAGTAGGAGTTGGATCTAGTTAACATCCTTAGATTGGGGATACTTTTCACTCAGTCTCCCTTTAAGACCTCTTTGTCTTTAATTTTAGGGTTCTACATTTTTATTAGAGTTTAATTTTTTTTTGTAAGCTCTATGCCCAAGGTGGTACTTGAACTCATGACCCCCCAGATCAAGAGATCAAGAGCTGCATGCTCCACCAACTGAGCCAGCCAGGTGCCCCTAGGGTTTAATTTTTAATTTATTTTTCATTATATGTGTTGCTTCCTATATCTCTGGATTTGGGTTTTTCTCCCTTCCTGAAGAGACAACAATGCCCATATTGCCTGTTTTCTTTCACTGTTCTCGATTACTTTTATCCCCTTGTCTTCTTTTCTCCTCTCCTTCCAGCCCCTTCAGTAAATGACATAATAGACAAGTTATCTGATGTGAGCTAACTGGAGTTAAGCCGCATTTAAAAAAAATATATTGTCAAAATACAGTTAGAGAGTTAAGTAAAATAAAATTATGAGAATATGGCAGATACATCTATGGGTCCTTCTTTTCACCAAAATATGAAGACTAAATTGATCAGGAGTGTTGACTTCAAGAATATCTCAATGAAGTGAAAAAAACATTTTTTAAAGGACTTTATTAATCTTTATTAATTCTTGTCAATTTTGTAATTTTCTTCCTAGATCTCCTCATATTTTGGATTCTGGCTGCATTATGATGAATGACACTTTGACATCAGATGTCATTGGTCGACGAGTTGCCGTTAATGGAGAACATGCAACAGTGCGTTTTTCTGGTATTGTCCCTCCTGTGGCAGGTAATTTATAATTCTCTGTGTGTCTGGATTTATTTATTTTGGAGTTCTTTCTTTGTAGGCTTCTCTGTAGTGCTTTGTAACAATGATTTTAAAGAAACTAACAACGAATTTGTAGATGCTTCCTATATGCAATTGTTTTGTTTGGGTAACAATATCCTGTGGTATCTATGGTTTTATTTAATTTTAGACTTATTTAATTATTTAGTGTTACTATTTTCTATTAATTCAACCTTAAAATATCTTCTGAGTAAACGTTAAACAACAACTAATAATCTTGAATTCTCATGTCCTAACCTCAAAAACTAAGAAATTTTGGAAATTTCTTTTGTCATTAATCCACATGTATATGTATTTAAAGTAGTTTAAATTGATATACAATTTTGTGATCTCTTTTCTCATGTATTGTTTGGTAATATTTATGTTTCTATAGCATCATTTTGTTTACATTGTTTTTTTATTGAGGTATAATTGACATTTAACATTATATTAGTTTTAGGTGTACAAAATAATGATTTGATATTTGTATGTATTGCCTGATGATCACCAAGATAGGTGTAGTTAACATCTATCACCATACATCGTTACAGAGTTTTTTTTCTTTTAAATAATGTCATTCTTTTATTTTTGAATTAATTTTTTATTTTATTTTTTATTTCAGTATTGTTAACATAGTTATATTGGTTTTAAGTGTACAATATAGTGATTCAACAATTCTATACATTACTCAGTGCTTGTCAAGATAAGTGTAACCTTAAATCTCCTTCACCTGTTTCACCCATCCCCCACCCACCTCCCCTCTCGTGACCATCAGATTCTTCTCCGTAGTTAAGAGTCTGTTTCTTGGTTTCTCTCTCTCTTTTTTTCCCCCTTTACTTGGTTGTTTTGTTTCTTAACTTCCACATATGGGTGAAATCATATGGTATTTGTCTTTCTCTGACTGACTTATTTTGCTTAGCGTTATATTTTCTGGCCCCACCCATGTTGTTGCAAATGGCAAGATTTCATTCTTTTTTATGGCTGAGTAGTATTCCACTGTATATGTACACTACCTCTTCTTTATTCATTTATCAATCGATGAACACTTGGGCTGCTTCCATAATTTGCTATTGTAAATAATGCTGCAGTAAACATAGGGATGCATATATCTTTTCAAATTATTGGTTTCATATTCTTTGGATAAATACGCAGTAGTGGAATTACTGGATCATATGGTAATTTTATTTTTAATATTTTGAGGACCCCCCATACTGTTTTCCACAGCGGTGGCACCAGTTTGCATTCCCACCAACAGTGCACGAGGGTTCCTTTTTCTCCACATCCTTGCCAATACTCGTTTCTTGTGTTCTTGATTTTAGCCATTCTGACTGGTGTGAGGTGGTATCTCATTGTGGTTTTGTTTTGCATTTCCCTGATGCCAAGTGATGTTGAACATCTTTTCATGTCTGTGTTGGCTATTGGGATGTCTTCTTTGGAGAAATGTCTATTCATGACTCCTGCCCATTTTTTAATTGGATTATTTGGGTTTTTTTGTATGTTGAGTTGTAGAAGTTCTTTATTTGGGATACTAACCCTTTATCAGATATGTCATTTGTAAATATCTTCTCCCATTCCATAGGTTGCCTTTTAGTTTCCTTTGCTCTGCAGAAGCTTTTTTTTTTTTTTTTAAGATTTTACTTTTAAGTAATCTCTACACCCAACATGGGGCTTGAACTTACAGCCCCGAGATCAAGAGTTGCATGTTTGTGGGATGCCTGGGTGGCTCAGTCAGTTAAGCGTCTGCCTTCAGCTCAGGTCAGGATCCCAGGGTCCTGGGATCAAGTCCTGCATGGGGCTTCTTGCTCAGCAGGCAGCCTGTTTCTCCTGCCTGCCGCTCCCCCTGCTTGTGCTCTCTCTGACAAATAAATAAAATCTTTAAAAAAAAAAAGTTGCATGCTCGTATGGAGGTTCCTCAAAAAGTTAAAAATAGAACTACCTCACAACCTAGCAATTGCACTACTATGTATTTATCCAGAGGATACAAACATAGTGATTCAAAGGGGCACATGCACCCCAATGTTTATAGCTGCAGTGTCCACAATAGCCAAACTATGGAAAGAGCCCAGATTCCATCAACACAGGAATGGATAAAGAAGATGTGGTGTGTGTGTGTGCGTGTGCATGTGTGTATACACACACATAATGGAATATTACTCAGTCATCAAAAGGAATGAAATCTTGCCATTGGCAGTTATGTGGCTGGAACTAGAGTGTATTATGCTAAGCTAAATAAGTCAGAGAAGGATGAATACCATATGATTTCACTCGTGGAATTTAAGAAATAAAACAGATGAACGTAGGGGAAGGGAAGGAAAAATAAAATAACAGAGAGGGAGGCAAAGCATAAAAGACTCTTAACTATAGGGAACAAACTGAGGGTTGCTGGAGGGGAGGTGGGTGGGGGGATGGGGTAACTGGGTGATGGGCATTAAGGAGAACACTTGATGTAATGGGTGTTATACGCAACTGATGAATCACTGAATTCTACACCTGAAACAAATAATACACTATATGTTAACGAACTTGAATTAAAAAAATAGAGTTGCATGTTCCACTGACTGAGCCAGCCAGGTGCCCCTGTGATGTAGTTTGAACATAAGTTTCACTTGACCCTGTGGGCAATTCTGAAGATAGGTGGCCCTTCAGAGATTTTCCTAGTTGAGATGAGGGCTGGGCATTTATACCTATGATGATCTATTACTGGGTTTTTGTATGTGAAAGGGGGTGTGCCAGGCACTTTCTTCAGTTGAGACAGTTCTTGAAAGTAGGCTCATAGGTGAGGGCTAATTGCCAGAAGCTAGTATTCCCAGCAGCTGGTGGGAATAAGTCTCGCTTTCTAAAGGCAGATTGGAGTATTGAGTCACAAATCCAATAATACAGATGGAAGCTATTTCATGGTAATTTAGTGACTATGAAGTGGTACATATTATTTTCATTTATTAAATTGCCTGTGAGTGGGGCACTTGGGTGGCTCAGTCATTAAGCGTCTGCCTTCGGCTCAGGTCATGATCCCAGAATCCTGGGATCGAGCCCCGCATCGGGCTCCCTGCTCCGCGGGAAGCCTGCTTCTCCCTCTCCCACTGCCCCTGCTTGTGTTCCCTCTCTCACTGTGTCTCTCTCTGTCAAATAAATAAAATCTTTAAAAAAAAAATTGCCTGTGAGTTTGATACTTCCTTCATGTATGTATGATCAGGCAAATTTTTCCCCCTAAAATTATAATTCTGCAAAGAAGGAGCTACTGTGTATTTATTAATTATCTCATCGTATGGGGGCATTCTCTATTACTTTACCTCAACTGGTGCTACTTTTCAATTTCTTTTAGAAGTCAACAGGTAGAATTGGTAAAAAGATGCAGCGACATTGAACACGGATTTAGTAATTATTCCTGGAGCTGCTTCACTGTGTGTTGTAGAATTGTTGTGATAACTAAATAAATGAAGGTGTTTAAAGCACTTAGACCAGTTACTGGTGCATAGTGTCAGCTATTTTGCAAATACACATTTTATTTTTATTTTTTTTTTAAGATTTTATTTATTTATTTGAGAGAGAATGAGAGAGCACGAGAGGGAAGAGGGTCAGAGGGAGAAGCAGACCCCCCTTGCCGCTGAGCAGGGAGCCCGATGTGGGACTCAATCCTGAGACTCCAGGATCATGACCCGAGCCGAAGGCAGTTGCTTAACCAACTGAGCCACCCAAGCGCCCTAGATACACATTTTAAAAATTTACTTAAAAAAGAAATAGAGCAGTTCTGATGTTTTGCAAATGGCTTGGGTTGGAAATTTAATTTCCTGAGATAGCATCATATGCAGGTTTTGTAATTTTTATTTTTTTAAAGATTTATTTATTTTAGAGAGAGAGTGCGAGTGAGCATGCATATGTGCAGTGGGGAGGGGCAGAGGGAGAAGGAGAGAAAGTAAAGTCTCAAGCAGACTGCCCTGAGCACAGAGCCCGACATGGGGCTTGATTGATCCCACAACCCTGAGACGATGACCTGAGCTGAAACCAAGAGTCGGATGCTTAACTGACTGTGCCACCCAGGTGTTCCCATATGCAGATTTTAAAAAGTGTTTAAGTAAAGAGGATATGCCATGATGGGCAGAATAATGCCCCTCCCCTTGCAACAAAGATGTCCCCAGGACCTGGGAGCATTATGTTTGGTTACATGGCAAAGGAGAATTAGGGTTGCAGGTGGAATTAAGGTTGCTAATCACCTGACTTTAGGATAGGAATATTATCCAGGTGGGCTGAGTGTAATCCCAAGGATCCTTAGAAGTAGAAGCAGAAGAGGGCAGTGCTGGAGTGCAGTGACGTGAGAAGGTTTCAAATGGCCACTGTGGGCTTTGAAGATGGAAGAGGGTGGTGAAGCCAAAGAGTGTGAGCGGCCTCTAGAAGCTGGAGAAGGCAAGGCAATGAATTTTCCTCTGTAGACTCCAGAAGGGAACACAGCTTTGCAACACCTTGATTTTATTTTATTTTTTAAAGATTTTATTTATTAGAGAGAGAGAGAGAGAAAGAGCATGCATGAGAGTGGGGTGAGGGGCACAGGGAGAAGCCGACTCCCCGCTGAACAGGGAGCCTGATGCGGAGCTCAATTCCGGGACTCCAGGGTTATGACCTGAGCCGAAGGTAGACACTTAACCGACTGAGCCACCCAGTTCCCCTGCAACGCCTTGATTTTAGTCCAGTGAGACTGTCCTCAGGCTTCTGACCTCCAAAACTGTAAGATAATACATTTGTGGGCGTACTTGGGTGGCTCAGTTGGTTAAGTGTCTGCCTTCTGCTCAGGTCATGATCCCAGGGTCCTGGGATCGAGCCCCGATTGTGGGGGTGGGGGAAGGGTGTCCCTGCTCAGCAGGAAGCCTGCTTCTCCCTCTCCCTCTGTCCCTCCCCTCTCCACTCATGTTCTCTCTCGCTTGCTCTGCTAGCTCTCTCTCACATCTTTAAAAAATAAATCTGTGTAGTTG